CCTTGGGATCTGGCCGATTTGCAGCCCCATAGCAGCTCTGAAAGTAGGCCGGCAGAGCCCCCAGCTTGTCCCTGGGTCCCTGGTGACCCGGCACCAGTGGGCCTCAGAGGCTTCTCTTCCCCTTGCTCCCCTCTGACTTCTTAAGCCAGAGGAAGACTGTAGAAAGTGGGACCAGAGTATCTGGTCACCCTGGCAACTGTGGGTGACATGGGACAGACTTGCCTGCTCCACGGTGCTGGCTGGGGACAAGTCTCACAAGTGTAAATATAATTTTTGTGCTGAGGGCCAGAGCAGCCACAGGAGGGCCTGACAGCTCCCAGCCACCCAGCAGTTGCGAGATGAGTTGATCAACAGGCCCCAGGTGTGTGTGGTGTGTGTGTGTGCAGGTGTGTGCACACGTGTTCATGCCACCATCTCCATGGAAAAGAATGAGAGATACCACCACCTCCCACCCCCCAGCCTCTTCTCCTCAAGGGCAGAGGGTCTGGCCAGCGCTGGGCCTTGGGGGGCTTCCACACCTACTCTTGCTCTGGAGGCCCCCACACTTCTGTGGTGGAACTGGCTGAGTGACCATTGAGAGGTCACTGGCTCTCCTGGAGTCTCTGTTTCCTTAACAACGTAATGGAAAATGAAATTCCCTCTGAGAGGTTCGTGTCTGCTCACAGCTCTGGATCTGATTCTGTGTCCGCCCCACCCCGATTCCATCCTGGCGAGGTCACCACAGCAACAAGTGTGAGACTTGGACGTTTTTGTCTCATTTCTTGCTATCCTGGGATCTCACCTTGGTGTAGGCCCTTTGACACCGTCCATCCAGGACCACCACCCATGCCTCCATGACCTTTCACACCTGGGGTCAGACACCTTCCTGTGCTGGGTATGCAGGGTGGAGCTGATGGGTGGGGAGTGGGACAAGCTAGGACAGACCCTGGCCACTCCTCCCTTCCCGGAGGAGTCTCCTCCCCCCCTGTCCTGGAAGCACCTGGGCCCAAAGCCAAGGAGGGCGGGGGCAGCATGTTGTAACCCTTACCCAGAAGCCTCTGGGGCCGAGAGCTCCTGCTGCTCACTGCTAGGCTCCAGTGAGGTATCCTGGAATCTGGCTTAAGTAGAAGAAAGTGCTGTGACCTGGCAGGGTGCATCCTGCCTCCTCTCAGCACTTCAGTTTCTCATCTGTCCCATAGGAATGACAGCTGTCTGTTTCCCTGTGATGGAGCTCCCACAGTCTGGAAAACCATGGTCACATCATGAGCTCCTTGTGTAAGTTGTGAGCCTGAATCACCTCTCTGTCCTCACTGCCTACCATGGTGCCTCAGGGAAAATATTGATGCTCAAGCAACAAGCTAAATATAACTCGCTGCTCAAGGTGCAAGACATCTTAAGCCACCCCGCCCTGGAGACTCATACCTGCAATCCTAGTTATACTCAGGAGGCTGAGATCTGAGGATCACAGTTCAAAGCCAGCCTGAGCAGGAAAGACTATGAGACTCTTATGTCCAAAAAGTCAGAAGTGGAGCTGTGGCTCAAGTGGTAAAATAACAGCCTTGAGTGAAAAAAGGGACAGCGTCCAGGTTCTGGGCTCAAGTTCCAGTTCTGGCACAAAAATAAAATAAAACAATACCTATAATGGTGCTCCTCTTTTAGACCAGGAAAGTCCACCTCACCTTGAAGAGCTAGCTTGTCTTCTGCAGTGGGACAGTACCTGCCCCACAGGGCTGTAGAGCACTGAGTGGCGGGCATGGTGCTGACACATCAGGAACAGCAAACACCTTTCACATTACCACTCTTGGCTTGCTCACACACCTCACGCTCCCCAGGAAAAAGTTTTCAAGACTCTATCTCAAAATCAAGCCAGGTGTGGTAATGCATACCTGTGGTCTAGCTAAGTCTGAGGCAGAGGTAGAAAGATTGTGGTCTTAGGCCAGCCCAGGGCAAAAGCTAGAGACCCTATCTGAAATACAAAAGAGCAAAAGGACTAGGTTGTGGTTCAGCCTAGCAAACACAAGGTCCTGAGTTCAATTTCCATTACTACCATAAAGAAAAAGGAAAAGAGGTGTTAAACTTTGGCTCAAAGTTTAGAAGTTTTAATCCAAGACCAGTTGTCTCTGAGCTTGGGGCCCCTGAGGAGGCAGTACATCATGGTGGAAATGTTTGGCAGAGCAAGCCACTTACATCGTGAGTGAGGGAGCAAAGAGAGCAAGGAGGGGCCAGGAGGTCCCAAAGACCCATCAGGACACACTCCCAGTGTTCCCCAAACCTGCCACTATACTAACCTCTTTTTTTTTTAATTATGGTAGTGGGGCTGGAGCTCAAGATGTGGTTACTCTCCCTTAGCTTTTTTGCTCAAGCTGGTGCGCCACCACTTGAGCCATAGCTCTGCTTCTGGCTTTTTGGTGGTTAATTGGAGACAAGAGTCTCATGGACTTTCCTACCTGGGCTATCTTCAAACCTGATCCTCACATCTCAGCCCACTGAGTCATTAGGATCACAGACATGAACTACTGGCAGGGCTATACCCAACCTCTTTGTTGTTGTTGTTGTTGGTCACAGGGGCTGAAATCTGGGCCTGGGTGCTGTCCTTCTGCTCTTCAGTTCAAGGCTAGTGCCCTACCACTTGAGCCACAGTGGCACTTCTAGCTTTTTTTCTGCTTATGTGGTACTGAGGAATCGAACCCAGGGCCTCATGAATGGGAAGCAAGCACTCTATCACCAAGCCAACTTCCCAGCCCACCCAACCTCTTTAAGGTTCCTCCATCTCCCAATAGACCACCCTGGGGTCCAACCCTTTAAAACGTGAACCCTTTGGGAGATATTCAAGATCTAAACTAGCATAGTAACCCTTGTGTTGTCCCATCTACCCTGAAGGACACCATAGGTCTCTAGGGTGAGGGGCCATGGCCATCTCCACTTCTTTGTCTGGTTGTCTGACTCCAGCAGGTGCTACAGAACCTAGGTGGTAATGTGGTTTGAAGACTGAGAGCAGAAGATGCCAGAGAAGGACCCCTACCCTTCCCTGAGCACACAAGGTGGCCATGAACCACTTCTGGCGGAGGTGGAAGAGGAGGGGGAGGCAGAAGCACTGTGGCAGCCAAGTGGCTCAGTGGTGGTAGAGTGCCAGGAGTATGTAGAAAGAGCACAGGATAGTCCTGAGACCCTGAGTTTGTTTGTTTTAAAAGAAAGAAAAAAAAGGGGGCATGGGGCTGCTTTGCTTTGATGGGGAGGGATGGCAGGAAAGCTTGAATTTCAGAACTTTGGAGTTTGATAGCAGCTGGTGGCCGCCACATCTGGGTTCTTTCCTGGTGCTGCTCCTGGTTTGTTATGTGACTTTTGGCAAGCCCTTTCAGTTTTCTGAGCCTTTGTTGTCACATATTTAGAGTAGAATTGGGCTAAAAAGGTGACAGATTGCCAGGCGCCGGTGGCTCATGCCTGTAATCCTAGCTATTCAGGAGGCTGAGATCTGAGGATCATGGTTCAAAGTCAGCCTGGTCAGGAAAGTCCATGAGACTCTTTATTTCTAAAGTTATTTTATTTATTTATTTTTATTTTTTGGTCGGTCGTGGGGCTTGAACTCTGGGCCTGGGCGCTGTCCCTCAGCTCTTCAGTTCAAGGCAAGCGCTCTACCACTTGAGCTACAGCGCCACTTCCATCTTTATTTCTAATAAACCATTAGAAAACCAGAAGTGGTGCTGTGGCTCAAGTGGTAGAGTGCTGGCCTTGAACTGAAGAGCTGAAGGATAGTGCCCAAGCCCAGAATTCAAGCCCATGACCGACAAAAAAAACCAACCAAACAAACAAAAAAAAAGTGACCGATTTTGTCTCTCACGTGGAGGCTGCTGGCTGTTGATTCTTGGAGCCTTGTGTGAAGCAGCTGGAAAGCAGGCGGTTATGCAGAAGCCTGCTGCCTGCAGGTGAGGGGTAGGAGTCACAGCACGTGCTCTGCAAGTTTGCAGACCTCAGGCCTTGTTTTGTTGTCCCTAGCCTAAGTTCCTTCCTGCATTGATCTTCTGTGAATCTTCCATCTCCTCTGTCACATCTCCAACCATCTGTTTCTGCCTTCAGCTTAAATAAATATCTTCCTGACAAGGGAACCCACCAGCTTCCCTCCGATGAAATCATTAGATAGTTCCTGTGTTCAACACAGGTCGGCCTCCCAGGACTTGAGCCTGGAAAGATGGTTTAGGGTTCAAGTGGAGGCTATGCCTTAGGTATTGGCACCTTGGTAATCAGTCTATAATGAACTTCTGCCTACTGGAGGCATATAGACCTGCTGCTACCTATTTTATGACAGTGACAGAAACAGCATGTAAATGTCCTTGGAAAAACACACTGTAAACCAGGCACCACTGATGCTTACCTGTAATGCTAGATATGCAGGAGGCTGAGATCTGAGGATCATAGTTCCAAACCAGCCCTGGCAGACAAATACAAGAAAGTCTTATCTCTAACCATCAAAAAGTCAGAAGTAGAGCTGTGCCTTGAGCAAAAAAGCTAAAAGGTCAGTACCCAGGCCCAGAGTTCAAGGCCCAGTACCAGACCAAATACAAACAACTGCCAGGCACCTGAGGCTGATGCCTGTAATCCTAGCTACTTAGGAGGCTGAGATATCACGGTTCAAAGCCAGCCCGGGAAGGAAAGTCCAATAGACTCTTATTTACAGTTAACCACCAGAAAACCAGAAGTAGCGCTGTGGCTCAAGTGGTAGCGTGCTAGCCTTGAGCTGAAATGCTGAGGAACAGCTTCCAGGCCCAGAGTTCAAACCTTACAACCGAAAAAAGAGAAAAACAAACAAACAAACAAACAAACAAAAAACCCAGCCCGAACACTTTAAAACATCAATTGTTTTATACCACAACCTTTGTGAAGCTGGTATTATCCCTTCCATTTTCAGACAAGGAGCCAAGGCTCAGAGTTAACAGCCTGTTCATCTCTAGCCAGCTGCTCCTTGGTCCCCAGTCCTGTTCCACGTCCCCGGAAGCCCACGCCTCCTGTTCTCTCGCCCTCCGCAGGTTTCCATGTGATCCCCACCATCTCCAGCATCGTCCCAGAGAGCTGCCTGCTGATCGTGGTGGGGCTGCTGGTGGGGGGCCTGATCAAGGGCGTGGGTGAGACGCCCCCCTTCCTGCAGTCAGAAGTGTTCTTCCTCTTCCTGCTGCCCCCCATCATCCTGGACGCCGGCTACTTCCTGCCGCTGCGGCAGTTCACAGAGAACCTGGGCACCATCCTCATCTTCGCTGTGGTGGGCACGCTGTGGAACGCCTTCTTTCTAGGCGGCCTCATGTACGCCGTGTGCCTGGTGGGCGGTGAGCAGATCAACAACATCGGCCTCCTGGACACCCTGCTCTTCGGCAGCATCATCTCTGCCGTGGACCCCGTGGCGGTGCTGGCTGTCTTTGAAGAGATCCACATCAACGAGCTCCTGCACATCCTTGTCTTTGGGGAGTCCCTCCTCAACGACGCTGTCACCGTGGTGAGGGGTCAGGGGCCCTGCCTACATGCACTGGCCTCTAGTCCCTCAGCCGCCCGCTAGTTAATACCAGTAGTGCAAACAGATGGTGACGATCCGTCCTTGCTGTGTCCCAGGCTTTGTGCCGCTGTGTCCTTGCTGTGTCCCAGGCACCACGCTGTGCACGGTGACACATGTTCTCACATTTGATCCCCAGGAGATGCTGAGGAGAAAACTTGGTGTTGTCATTTTATAGAACAAGAGACAGGCCCAAAGACGTTAATCAGCTTGTGGTAGAATGGAGATCTGAATCAAGGTGATAGAAGCAGTTTGTGTTTGAAGCAGATCTGTCTCCTCCAAGGCCAGAGTTCTTGGCCTTCCTAGGACAGATGTTCCTTCTTCGGCTCCCATTTTGATGTGATCTTGGCCATATTGCTGATCCTCCTCCTGCCTCCATTACCTCTTGAGAGCCTGTTTTATTTCAGAATCTTTTCAGTTCTGATGTTGAGTATCTTAAGTTCGAAATTTAGTGTGTGCAGTTTTGGAGTGGAGATTGTGGAAACTTCTAGATGACAAGTAAAATGGGATAGCAGCTTGCTTCCTGTGAGATCTTAGGCAAATGACTCTGCCTTTCTGGGCCTCACCTTTTGTTTGTTTGGTACTGGGGTTCGAACTCACGACCTGGTGGTTGCTAGGCAGGCACGGCCTGGTTCTATCTCTGAGCCACATCTGCAGCCCTTTGTGCTGGTTACTTTGAGACATAGGGTCTGGCTTCCTGCGCAGGTGTGTGCCTGGACCACAGTCTGCCTATTTTATGCTTCGTGGTCACAGCTGGGATGATGGGCACATGCCACTGTAACCAGCTATTTATTGAAAAGGAGTCTTGTGCCCAGACCATTCTCAAACTGCAATCCTCCCAATCTTAGCCTCCTTAAGTAGCTAGGATTGCAACTGTGAACCACTGGCACCCATGTGGGCTTTGACAGCTTATAAAATGGCCTAGTGAGGGCAGGCAAGCCCAATGCAAGGTCTCATTGTACATGGCAGAACTATATACTGTAATGCCTACCTATGCTCTCCCGGCCCATTGCCCCAGGAAGTAAATGTGAGTGTGCATGTATGTCCCCCTCTCCCTCCAAGCTGGACCCCTCAAAGAGCAGCCGCATACACACGAAAACACAAGTGCAGTGTGCTTGCTCAGTCCCTGCTCACACGTGCACTCTCTGTTCATGGCGGCCCCTCAGACAAACACCTCCTTGTGGTCGACTGTTATTCAGTGGCCATAAGCCCCGGTTTCCTCTGTCTCTCTTGCTTCTCACTGGCTCATCACAGGGCTGGGTAGCCTGGCCTGAGCAGACAGGCTTCCATCCTGGTTTCTTCTAGCATCAGCCCTTGCCCAGGGTTACCACAGGAACCTCAGTTTCCCTACTAGTAACATAGGACTTGCAGTACCCAGCTGGTTCTATTCGCTGGCGTTCCTGCAGGACTTCTGCTCACTCTGAGTGCCAGAGGTGCAGCCTTCCAGTCGGGTGTGGATGCAAGTCCAGGCTGGGGGTGCTTGTGCCAAAAGATAACTCAGACCCACAGCCACGTCTGCTGAAGTGGGTGGTGTGGCTCTTACTGGTGCTGGGCTGCTTCCTGTCCCATACGAATCTGAGCCACCCAGAAACTCCCCGTGAGGTTGCCACTGCTGTTAGCTGTTTCCCCAGGTGAGGAAACTGAGGCACTGAGAGGTTCTGTTAACTGATGAGCAGCCTGGCTTCAAATCCACACAGTGTGATCCTGAGTCCAAACACAGACCTGTGCCACACAGCCTCTCTGCAGTGACAGGCCAGAAAGGCTGTGCCTGCTCCAGTGGCCCAGATGGCAGACTGGGAGAACTTATGCCTCTCCTCAGGCCAGGAATGAGTTTGAGTAGCTCAGGGCTAAGTGTATCTGCTGACAAAGCTATTACCGCTGCTACCCCACCCTGTCTCCCCAATGGCACCTGGGCCTGGAACCTGCCCTTCCTGCTTGGCCCTGATTGGGCTCTTTTGAAACTCGAGGCAAGGGTGTGAGTGCCCCATTTCCCAGGCAGGAAGGTTGCCTCTACACTGCACGGGCTCAGGCGGGCCAGCGCCTTGTCACACAGACACCCCTTGCCCATTATCCCTTGCCTCCAGGAACTGCCCAGGTGCCAGGGGCATCAGAGGGTTTCCTCTCATGGATTCTTAGGTCCTTGTCCCCTTCTCCCTGGGCCTGGAAACTCCTTGGCTGGTTCCTGGCAGAGCTATGTAGGGCTGGACTCAAGAAGGCCAGGAAGCCATGATGCTGGTAGAGACCAGAAGCTGAGGCTGTGGGAGGCCTCAGCCCATAGCCATCAGGGAACACGTCCTGGGTGCAGTCCCGCTCCTGGGCCCTTGGACACACTGCTTCCCCTCTGTGAACCTCAGTGTGGCAAGGGAACAGACATCCTCACAAGCTTGTTAGTGCTGACTAGGAAGAGATTGTTCAGAGGGCTTCACACTACGGCTACAGTGACGTCTATTTCCCAGCCTCAGGGACGGGAAACTTCAGAGCTGCCAGTTTCACAGCATCTGAACTTGGCAGTTTATTGCAACCACCTGGGAGCTTCTTAAAGCAAGAGGTTTCTCAGCCCCACCCCCAGGGTCCAGGTGGGGGTATGCCCTGGCCACATGAATTATCATGATTAAGAAATCCTGTTCTAGGGGCTGGGAATGTGGCTCAGTGATAAAGTGCTTGCCTAGCATGCATGAAGCACTGGGTTCAATTCCCCAGTACCACATACACAGAAAAAGCCAGGAGTGGTGCTGTGGCTCAGGTGGCAGAGTGCTAGCCTTGAGCCAATGAAGCTCAAGGACAGTGCCCAGGCCCTGAGTTCAAGCCCCAAGACTGGCAAAAGAAAAGAAAGAAAAAAGAAAAGAAATCCTGTTCTAGCTGGGTAGGTACTGGTAGCTTGCACCAGTAGGAAACTGAGATCTGGGGATCATAATTCAAAGCCAGCCAGAGCAGAAAAGTCTGTAAGATCCTTAGCTCTGATTAACTAGCAAAAAGCTGGAAGTGGAGCTATCCCTTAAAGTGGTAGAGTATTGGCCTTGAGCAAACAAGCTAAGGGAGTGCACAAGGTCGAGTTCTAGTTCCAGTATTGGCAACAGAAAAAAGAAGAAAGGAAAAAGTAAAGAAAGTTATCCTGTTCTTCATTGTCTGAACTTACTACTTTGTGCTGAAGGAGGGATTGAACTCAGAGAGGCGTGGTCACATGGGGGCTGTTAGCTCGGCCCAGGCCCAGTACTGAGTACTTTACCTGCTCAATCTTCACAGCCCACTTTGCAGATGGAAAACCTGAAGCCCAAGGAGTAGTTGGCCCCATGTACCCATTTAGGGAGCAGCAGAGTAGGGATTTCAACCTGGCCCTTTGGTTCCTGGGTTCTGTGTTCCTAACCAGCATGATGGGGCCCAGGCCTCAGCCAAGTCCCTCCAGCCCCCAGCCCATCAATCTGAGCTCTTGCTTGGTACTGGATTTTTCTCTTACCATGTGGTCTATTCTGTTGGTTGGTTGTTTTTGGTGGTACTGGGGCTTGGACTCGGCCTTGTACTTCCTAAGGCAGCCACTCTTAACCACTTGAGCCACACCATCCACCCCCACATGGCCTATTCTCTGTGTCCATGGTTCCCGGAGGGGTGGGATCACCCTGGGTGGACCCCAGGGAGCCATGGGGCTAGCACCCTGCCCTCCTACCCACCAGCCTGCACACTTTCCCCAGGTCCTGTATCACCTCTTCGAAGAGTTTGCCAGCTACGATCAAGTGGGCATCGTAGACATCGTCCTCGGCTTCCTGAGCTTCTTCGTAGTGGCCCTGGGCGGGGTGTTTGTGGGCGTGGTCTACGGGGTCATTGCCGCCTTCACCTCCCGATTCACCTCCCACATCCGTGTCATCGAGCCGCTCTTCGTCTTCCTCTACAGCTACATGGCCTACCTGTCAGCTGAGCTCTTCCACCTGTCCGGCATCATGGCGTGAGTTTGGGTGTGGGTGTGGCAGGCAGAGGGCTTGGCTGGGGAGGCCTCAGACTCAGGTCCTCACCAGGGTCCAGGCTCCACACTTGCGTGGAAACCATTTTAATGACCAAGGTCATCAGGGGCTTCCTAGTGAACCTCTTAGCCTTGCTACTTGCTTCAGTGTGGCAGTGGGCGGGTGACAGACCTCCATGTACAAAATGACAAGAATGTCCCCACCCTGTGGGGGGATGGGCGGGTGGACCAGGTGAGAACAAACGTGCAAAGCAGGCAGCTGTGTAGCTCCTGAAAGTTGCTCAGAAAACAGGCACTTGTCCATGCTAGCCCCCCACACCACAGAGGTACGAATGAGCCTGAACCCCACCCTCCTCCATCCTAGGCTCATTGCCTCCGGGGTGGTGATGCGCCCCTACGTGGAGGCCAACATCTCCCACAAGTCCCACACCACCATCAAATACTTCCTGAAGATGTGGAGCAGCGTCAGCGAGACCCTCATCTTCATCTTCCTGGGCGTCTCCACCGTGGCTGGCTCCCACCACTGGAACTGGACCTTCGTCATCAGCACGCTGCTCTTCTGCCTCATCGCCCGCGTGCTGGGTGAGGGCTGGCCATGCACAGAGGGGGGGGGGGTTGTGTGTGGTACAGTGAGTACAGTATGGTAGTGCTGGGGTGTAGTAAGGGTGTGGGTAAGGGTGGGTTTTGTAGGAATTTGGTTGTAGGGGATGCAGTGTGTGGGGTGGTAAAAGTATGGACTTCTATGTATATATAGTGTATTATGTGTAGGTGCTGCACTGTAGTGTGGTGATGTATAGTGTGTTGTGTACAGGAGCTGTCTAGTGTGTATGGTATAATATATGAGAAGGCTGGGCTGTAGTGTGCAAGGTACAGAGTGTGGAGAATCTAGTTTGGGGTGTGTGGTGCAAGGTATGTAGGCCCATTCGTGGAGGGGGGGTGTAGGAGCTAGGCCATGTCAGGTGAGGTGCAGTTTGTGGGGGGGATTCTGGGCCATGGTGGTTGAGGAACAACTGGTGGGGGAGGGGGAATCTTAGGCCATGACAGGTGAGGTAGGGTATATGAACACCCCAGGGCACCTGTGGGCATCAGGTCCATGGGGTCCCCCTCAGGCACCTGCCAGGCCTCACTCCTCTGTGGAAAAGTCAGTGTCCGTGTGGGGACATACTCCCGTGAAATGAAGACGGGCTGTGTGGTCCCCATACCTGTTCTGTGTGACTTGGGGCATTTTTTGGAGTCCTGTTGCTCCTGATCCTGTTCTCCAGGGATTCTGGTTTTGTGGGTGGAGGTCAGACCCAGCCCACATCTTAATGTTTGATTATGGAGAACATCAAATGCAGAGAGAATTAGACCAGGCTACTTTATCCCCATGTGTCCGTCTAATTGACAAGGAGATACTGTGACCACTTTTTCGTCTCTGCCTTCCCCTTCCTGACCCAGCCCCAGAGGCTGGGCTCGTCTAGGTTAGGAGCCTCCTTACATATGGATCTAGAGCCTCCTGGGCTGAGGGACCCAGGACTTGAGTGAGAAAGGAGGAGCTTGGGGATGGGGAAATCCCTGGCGCAGAGGCCAGGAGGTGCTCAGGCCTGCCCAACGCTTCCTCTGCCCCTCCCTGGCAGGCGTGCTGGGCCTCACCTGGTTCATCAACAAGTTCCGAATCGTGAAACTGACCCCCAAGGACCAGTTCATCATTGCCTATGGGGGCCTGCGAGGGGCCATTGCCTTCTCTCTGGGCTACCTCCTGGACAAGAAGCACTTCCCCATGTGTGACCTGTTCCTCACTGCCATCATCACCGTCATCTTCTTCACTGTCTTTGTTCAGGTGCTGGGCCTGGGGTGGGGTGGGCAGGCCCCGGCCTGAGGGTCCTTGAGTCTGTTTCTGTTGAAAATGTGTTGTGTGAAGTGGGGCTGTGGATCCTAGGCCCAGCTCTTGTATTAACTTTGCTGTGTGACTTTGGGCAAGCCACTCCCCTTTTGGCCCCCAGTTTCCTCCTTTATAAAGTGGCCAGTTAGAAAATGAGTCACTGTGAAGTGAGCCAACAGAATGTAAAGTTACCAGAGTGTTGCCCAATCAGGAACTATTTAAGAGATGTGGGTTGTCAGCAGGAGATCCTGTCCCAAGACCTGACTCTTCCTCCATGCATGGTAGGCTTCAGTGGTTTCATACCTTGGGAGTCTCAAGCTTCTGCATCTGTAAAATGGAGCAATCGAGCATCGACAGCTGGGCTGGTTTCTGAGCCAGGCACCTAGAAGCCTAGAGTCAGCCCTCGCTCGGCCACTGTCTGTGTGGCCTGGCGTCTTAGTTCCCCACTTGTGAAATAAGGATGATCTCTAAGTATCTTCCCAGCACTGGTCAGTGAGGTTTTTGTTTTGTCAGTACTAGGGGTTTTGTTTGTTTGTTTGTTTCTAAGCTTAGGACTTCATTCTTCGTAGGAAGTGGATTTCCAGCCCTAGTTTTTTTTCTTTTGAGACAATGGCCTTGCTACGCGGCTGAGGCTGGCCTGGAACTGCCACCGTAACCCATCCTCCTGCCGCAGCCTCCCTGAGTGCTGGATTACAGGCAAGAGCTGCCACGCCTGGCCCTTGCCAGGATTTGTATGTGTTTGAATGACCCAGGCTTAGCTGAGAATCCTACCCTTGTCAAGGAAGTCCAACCCAGAATATTCTCGCATACCTGAGTGTGATCTTGGGCAGGTGATAAACTCCGTGCCTGGGCCTCCATTTCTTTCCCACCATTCTGTCTTTCCCAGACACTAATCCTTACAAAGTACTAGAAACGCTTTGCCTTCTCAGGAGAAAAAATACAAGGGAAACTTCAAGGAAGTGGGCTTATTCTTTGCATTTAAAAGAAGCGAGCCAGGTGCCAGTGGCTCAGGCCTGTAATCCTAGCTACTTAGGAGCCTGCGATCTGAGGATCCTGGTTCGAAGCTAGCCTGAGCAGGAAAGTCCATGAGACTCTTCAATTAACCACAAAAGGCAGAAGGGAGCTGTGGGTCAAATGCCTTAAGCACCAAAAGCTCAGGGACAGCACCCAGGTCCTGAGTTCAAGCCCCAGGACCAGCACACAAAGACAAAACCCAAAACAACACCTAAAAAGCACTGTTTCCCCTTGACTTTTTTTTTCTCTCCCGTCCTGGGGCTTGAACTCTGGGCTTGGCACTATCTCTTGGCTTCTTTTGTTCAAGGCAAGCACTCTACCACTTGAGCCACAGTACCACTTCCAGCTTTTTCTGAGTAGTTTATTGGAGATAGGAGTCTCACAGACTTTCCTGCCCAGGCTGGCTTCGAACCAAGATCCTCAGATCTCAGCCTCCTGAGTAGCTAGGATTGCAGGCGTGAGCCACCTTGTCTGGCTTCCCCTGGACTTTTTATTTGTATTTGGTAATGGTTCTCCAAGCCCACTTATACTAAAGGCAGCATTGGGTTTGAGCCATTGCCTGGGTTTGATTCTTGGTTCTACTACCTCTATGGGACCTTTGGTAGTTGCTTAATTTCTTTTTTTTTTTTTTTTTTTGGGTCCGGTCGTGGGGCCTGAACTCTGGGCCTGGGCACTGTCCCTCAGCTCTTCAGCTCAAGGCTAGCGCTCTACCACTTGAGCCACAGCGCCACTTCCGGCTTTTTTCTTTTTGCTTATGTGGTGCTGAGGAATCGAACCCAGGGCCTTGAGCATGCAGGGCAAGCACTCTACCACTGAGCCACCTTCCCAGCCCCTAGTTGCTTAATTTCTGTGAGCCTCAGTTTCCTCATCTGTAAAATGTGAACTCTTAGGGTTGTCATAGCTGTTAAAGGGCCTGTTTTTAGGGGAACACAACCTGGCCTGCCACATAGAAACTGTGGTTATTTTTATTGTGTGTGTGCCAGTATTGGAGCTTGAACTCGGGGCCTGGGTGCTGTCTCTAAGCTTTTTGCTCAAGTCTGGTGTTCTAACACTGGAGCCACAACTCCACTCCAGCTTTTTGTGATTAACTGGCTTCAAACCATGATCCTCAGAATTTAGCCTTCTAAGTAGTTAGGATTCCAGGCGTGAGCCACCTATGCCAGACTAAAAGGTACTCCTAGCAGCCCAGGAGGGAGGAGCGGAACAGAGGGTTCTGTCTGTCTGTGAGGCTCAATTCCTTAGGGTTGCGGAGTGGGTCTGTAGTAGAGCCCATATCTGAACCCAAGCCCTGGCTATGTGAGCAGTGTAAGGCTCTGCCAGAGCTCTGGCTGTGTCCCCAGGAAGAACTGGTGCTGAGGGGAGGCAAACAGTTCTAACATCCATTGGTCCTGGGCCACTGAGGATCCCAGAGCACAAAGGGCATCTCAGGATCCCTGCCAGAGTGGTAGATCCATTGTGCCTGAGATCTAACTGCCCCCTCCCCTGCCCAGGGCATGACCATTCGGCCCCTGGTAGACCTGTTGGCTGTGAAGAAAAAACAAGAAACCAAGCGCTCCATCAATGAGGAGATCCACACGCAGGTACGGGGAGCTGGGGCCTGCAGTTGCTGAAGGAGGCTTCAGGAGCAGCTCGACCACCCTTCTTTGTACTTGGTCACCTCCTCTGTCCCTACCTCAAGTGCTGGGTGGTCCCCCATCTCCCTGATGGGCAGGTGTGGTGTTAGCATCTGGAATCCGAGGGGCGTTATGCCATCTTTGCCTCTAGACAAACCTGCCCTGAGCATTGGGTTCAAGTGGGTTCAGAGAAAGTGCCTCAGCCAGCTGGGAGAGGGAGGGAGAGATTGAGATATCCAGTTGTCCACTGGGCTTGAGGATCACTGGAGGCTTGGCGCCACCTCCTGGCTACTCTTGGAACTTCAGGGCTGGGCGGAGCAGAGGCCCTCTGGGGTGGAAGGTAGAGCCTGTTCAGAGTTCTGGATAGCAAAGGAGCCCAATAATGAAGCTTGACCTGGCTCATTTCAGTTCCTGGACCATCTTCTGACGGGCATCGAGGACATCTGTGGTCACTATGGCCACCACCACTGGAAGGACAAGTAGGTGCAGGTGGGGTGGGTGGCAAGATGCAGTTGAAAGGGTCTCTTCCCAAGTCCCGGCTTCTGCCCACATGTAGGAACCAGCTCCATCCGTCTTCCTCCTCTTCCCACCAGGCTCAACAGATTTAATAAGAAGTATGTGAAGAAGTGTCTGATAGCCGGCGAACGCTCCAAGGAGCCCCAGCTCATCGCCTTCTACCACAAGATGGAGATGAAACAGGCCATTGAGCTGGTGGAGAGCGGGGGCATGGGCAAGATCCCCTCTGCGGTCTCGACTGTCTCCATGCAGTGAGTGCCAGTGGCCAATCCGGACAGCGACTGTTCCCTTATGCCAACCGCAGCCTGAAACAGCCACTGGGAGAGCCGTGTTATCCAGTCAGGGTCGGTTGTGAGGTGGGAGGGGATTGCGGAGCATAGAAGGGCTTGAGGCTTTGAACACCTACCTAGGCCATCCTGAGCATAGCTTCCTCCTGGCCCATCCCTGCAGGCTCCAAGGTCTTAAGACTGGAGACCTAGGGGCTGGGAAGGTGGCTCAGTGGTAGAGCGCTTGCCTTGCATGCTTGAGGCCCTGGGTTCGATACCTCAGCACCACATAAGAAAAAAGCCGGAAGTGGCACTGTGGCTCAAGTGGTAGAGCGCTAGCCTTGAGCTGAAGAGCTGAGGGACAGCGCCCAGGCCCAGAGTTCAGGCCCCACGACCGGACCCAAAAAAAAAAAGACTGGAGACCTAACATTTGCCCTGTTGTGCCAGGAACATTCACCCCAAGTCCCTGGCTGCTGAACGTATCCTGCCAGCACTGTCCAAGGACAAGGAAGAAGAGATCCGCAAAATCCTAAGAAACAACCTGCAGAAGACCAGGCAGCGGGTGAGCGGCCACCTTCTTCTGCAGCCTTCTCTTCCTCTACCCTGGGCACCAACCTCTTCCCAGACTGCAACACTGCTCCGCCCCTACCCCATCCATGGGCCCGTAGCTTCCCCGGCCCCCAGACCTCTAGTCCCAGCTTCCTGGTCCTGCCTGCCCCAACAGCTACTACCCTGATCCTCCCACAGCTGCGGTCCTACAACAGACACACACTGGTGGCTGATCCCTACGAGGAGGCCTGGAACCAGATGCTGCTTCGGAGACAGAAGGCCCGGCAGCTGGAGCAGAAGGTGGGATCCAGATCGGCATGGGACTCAGCCTTTCTGGGAGAATCTGGGTTCTTCCTATACCTACACCCCAGCGCTCCACCAGACTCCACAGAGGAAATGTGTTCATTCTAGAAATAGTGGTTTCAGGAGGCTTTTTGATGGTCTCAGAATTTGGGTTTTATCCCAGGGAGTAACGCAGGAGGGAAGGGGATGGTCTGGATAAAGGGCACAAGAGGCAGTGAGCTTAATGGACATTAAGAAGTAGAACTGGGGGCTGGGAAGGTGGCTCAGTGGTAGAGTGCTTGCCTCTCATGAATAAGGCCCTGGGTTCGATTTCTCAGCACCACATAAACACAAAAGGCCAGAAGTGGTGCTGTGGCTCAAGTGGTAGGGTGCTACTTGAGCAAAAAGAAGTCAAGAACAGTACCCAGGCCCTGAGTTCAAGCCCCAGGATGGCAAAAAAAAAAAAAAAAAGAAGAAAAGAAAAAGAAAAAAATGTAGAACTGGAAACTTTTGTTTCCAGTTTGGTGAGCCAAAGGGAGAAGAGTTAGGGTGCCTTGTTTTGTTCTGCTGGGGCTTGAACCTGGGGCCTGAGTGCTATCCTTTAGCTTTTTTTGCTCAAGGCTGGTGGTACTCTAACACTTGAGCTACAGCTCCAATTCTGACTTTCTAGTGGTTAATTGGAGATAAGAGTCTCACAGACTTCCTGCCAGGGCTGGCTTTGAACCTTGATCCTCAGATCTCAGCCTTCTGATTAGCTAGGATTACAGGCAAGAGCCACCACTCCACCCCGCCCTAAGAATCAGGTTTGTGTCTAGCCTTCTAGTAGTGTGGTTGGGAATGGTATTTACCATGGGGAATCCTGAGGAAGGAACAGAGGATTGAAGGAAGATAAGGAGCTGAGCTCAGTTGCCACAAGTTGGGCCATGAAGGTCTTGGTTTATGGGCCAGAGCCAATGCTGGGGTAAGGAAGGAATGTTTGAGTTGCCCAGTGAGATCATTCAGCTTGCAGAGGTTGTGCCAGCTTAGGTGCTTTAGAGACACAAGGACGAGCCTAACATGGCACTACTGGTGTCAGGTGCCCTCCCCCAACTGCCGTGCTCACCATGTCTCTCTCTCTCTGTTAGATCAACAACTACCTGACGGTGCCAGCCCACAAGCTGGACTCTCCCACCATGTCCCGGGCCCGCATTGGCTCAGGTAAGTGACCCCAGGGCTGGGCACTCGGCACAGCCTCCTAAGATGGAGATCCCAAACGTAAAGGGCCTCAGAGAACTAGTAGGGAGGCCAGACTTCTCCCATCACAGCCTCATCTCTCCTCCCAGTCCACAAGATTTGTCTGCCCCAGGTGGGGCTGTGCTGACAGAGGGCAGGAAGGGCCCTGTTATCTTCAGATGTCCCAGCGAAGACTGTGACAGGAGCTGGGTGGACAGGGTGCCTGGCAGGGGGCAGGGTCTCTGTCCACAAAAGTGGGCAAGGGCAAGGTCTCTCAGACCTGGGCCCCTAGGGCAGCCCTGGAAACCCGCCCCCCATCTCCCTCCCTCCCTATTTATGTGTATGTGTGTGCTGGTACTAAGGCTTGAACTCAGGATCTGGCCTCTGTCCCTTAGCTGTTTTGCTCAATGCTGGTGCTCCACCACTTGAGTCACACCTCCACTTCTAGCTTTGGCAATTCTTTGGAGATGAGTCTCAACCAGGTGCCAGTGGCTCACACCTGTAATCCTAGCTACTCAGGAGGCTTGAGATCTGAGGATCATGGTTCAAAGCCAGCCCGGCAGGAAAGTCCATGAGATTCTTATTTCCAATTAACCACCAGATAACTGGAAGTGGCACTGTGGCTCCAGTGGTAGAGCACTCGCCTTGAGCTGAAGAGCTCAGGGACAGCGCCCAGGCCCAGAATTCAAGCCCCACAACCAGTAAAAAAAAAAAGAAAAGAGAGGGTGGGGGGAGGGGGTGGGGAGTCTTATAAGCCTTCTTTCCTGGGTTGACTTCAGACCATAATCCTCAGATCTCAGTTTCTTGAGTAGCTAGGATTACAAGTGTGAGTCACTAGTACCCAGATGAGCCCCTGGTCTGAGGAAGGAGAGAAGTCTGAGGGAAGAGAAGCTGGGGACAGAGCAGTCACTCCGGCTGGCTGCATTCATGGGAAGGCTGTGGGAGTTGCTGGCGTGGACGTGGGGCCCTCGAGGTGTGGGTAACGCTGGACAGGCCTTGGGTAGAGCCCAACCTCGGCTCTGTGCTTGGTCCCCAGACCCACTGGCCTACGAGCCGAAGGCAGACTTGCCTGTCATCACCATCGATCCAGCCTCTCCACAGTCACCGGAGTCTGTGGACCTGGTAAACGAGGAACTGAAGGGCAAGGTGCTGGGGCTGAGCCGGAACCCAGGGAGAGTAACAGAGGAGGACGAGGATGAGGACGGAGGCCTTACGATGCGGTCCAAGGAGCCCTCCTCCCCTGGCACCGATGATGTCTTCACCCCTGGACCAAGTGACAGCCCCAGCTCCCAAAGGATACAGCGCTGCCTAAGTGACCCAGGCCCCCACCCCGATCCGGGAGAGGGGGAGCCATTCATCCCCAAGGGGCAGTAGTGCCAGGCCAATGGGCAGCACCTGTCCAGCGGACGTTCCCACCAGAGCAGGGGTTGGTTGGAGGGGAGCTGGGGGCTCCCCTCACTCTTCCTGACTTGGATCAGCCCCGCCCCTTCCTCCCGCCGCATGGCAGCTGGGTCCACAGCCCCTCCTGTAGCACGGCTTCCTCCCGGCCCCTCCCAGCAGAACTGCCTCCGCCATCTCTCCTCTTGGGCAGAGCTGCTGGGCTGGCGAGGGCAGGGCCTACTCCTCTAGATCCAAGCTCACCATGTCTGGACCAGGGCCCCATTAGGCTGCCAGGCCCGGCCCTCCACCGCAGCACCCTCCTCATTCCCAGCAACCTTCCTGCCTAACCAAAGAGCCTCTGGCTCAGCCGTGGCCCCACCCAGGATTGGAAGGAACGGGAGGAGCTCTCCTCTGTCCCCGCCAGTGACTGGAGGAAGGATGGGGGGCTCGTGGCAGTCCCACCCCACTCCTGTTCACCCATGCCGGCCTTGCTGAGAGAGCCCGAGGCAGGGGGCATCCCGGGGCTTCTCCGCTTGGAGCCGGTGGGCCGGGGGTGGGGGGTGGGGGGGGCGTGTTCTGGACAGTGAAGTGATGTGTGCTGAGGACCACTGGGCCTCTCTGCGGCCTCTACCCTGGAAGGGGCTGCTGAGCCTCCCGAAAGCCTGCTCTTCCGTGCAGCTCACCTCCATGTCCACCTCTGTCCACACCGAGACAGTCCTGGGTTTTAGGAGCCTCTGAAAACCCCTCTTACCTGACCTCATGCTCCAGAGAGCCCCTCTTTATTAGTGCCTGTCTGTCCAGTGTCCCCGCCCCCCCCCCCCCCCCCCAGTCAGTTCCTTGCCTCCTGGGCTCTGAACTTGTTGTTCAAGGCTCTGATTTTAGACACGGCCCTAACCTGTCCGAATTGACCAAGTTCCCGGGCACAGGGCCTCCTGACACCTGTCTTGCTCTTGAGTCCGACCCTCACTCCCTGCTGGCCTTTGTTTCTCACTTGCAGTGTCCCCCACAAGCCCTTTCCTCCACCCCCAGATAGCTGTGGAGCCCAGCCCTGGGGAGGAGGCCTCCCCCCCACAGCCATCAGTGCTGGGTGGATAGAGCCCTGGGTCTCCACAGGCCTTTGCTCACAGGCACACCCCACTGCCGCCATGGCCCGGCCCGGGCCCATGCGTGTCTACACACTCCCCCCCTTCCCCCCCAGGATCGTGCAATAGTCAGCGCCCCGCTGCCAGGGGGCGGGGCCATCTGTCTCTCCTCTCCATGCAAGTGCTGTTTCGGGCAGAAGTCACCATACAAGGTGATGTCGACAACCATGTACAAAGCCACCGCAGCTGCTGCCGCTCTGCCACCTGTACAGAAGAAATTGAACCTTTTTTTCATATTCTAATAAATCAATGTGAGTTTTTGATAGAGTCCTGGACTGCTCCCTGGGAACAGCGGGCTTCAGGAAGGAGGGGAGGAACTCAGCTCCCATCCGCCTGGAATCCTTAGACCATCCGTGCTGGTGTGGTCATTACCATGTGCCAGGTGCCAGAGATTTGGCAGTAAGCAGGGCAGGAAGTATGCTTGCTCTTGGGAGAAGGGCAGCAGCCTGGACCACTGACACCACTGTGGAAAACCCAGTGGGCAAGCAGCCGGAATGAAAGGCCAGGGGGCTGCCCAGGGGTCTCCTAGCACGTGACCCAGGAGGACTGGCGCACGTGCCAGATGGAGAAGGTCTTGGGGAGGTCCCAGATGTTCTCATTAACAGGTGCACACACACTCTGGGGTCTGGGGGAAAGCCTGGTACCATGAGGGCATACCCAGAATCCTAGCTGCTCAGACGGAGATCTGGAGGATTGTGATTTGAGACCAGCCTGGGCAAGAAGGTACTCAAGACTCTAAAAATAACCAGCAAAGTCAGGTGCCATTGTCTCACACCTGTAATCCTGGCTACTCAGGAGGCTGCAATGTAAAGATTGCAGTTCAGACCCAATCTGGCTGGGCAAGAAAGTCTGAGACTCTTTTTTTTTTTGTCGGTAGAGGGGCCTGAACTCTGGGCCTGGGCGCTGTCCCTCAGCTCTTCAGCTCAAGGCTAGTGCTCTACCACTTGAGCCACAGAGCCACTTCCGGCTTTTTTTTTCTGCTTATGTGGTGCTGAGGAATCGAACCCAAGGCCTCATGCATGCAAGGCAAGCACTCTATAACTGAGGCACCTTCCCAGCCCAAGTCTGAGACTCTTATCTCCAATTAGCCACCAAAAAGCCTAAAGTGGAGTTATGGTTCAAGCAGTAGAGTGCTAGCCTTGAACACAAAAGTTCAGACAGTACTCAGGCCCTGAGTTCAAGCACCAAGACCAACACAAAATAACCAGCAAAAAGCTGAGCTGGAGGCATGGCTTAAGTAGTAGAATGCCCGCCAAGCAAGCCACTGCATGGCTTGAGTTAAAACCCCAATGCTATCAAAATAAATAATAGGCTGGTGCAGCTAAGTCAGCACAAGGGGCAACTTTGAAGTCCATAGTTAAGATTTTGGTTCTTTCTGTCATATTGGTGAAATTGGGGTCTGCATTCAGGGATTGTGTTTGCTAAGGCAAGTGCTCTACTGCTTGAGCTGTGTCTCCAGTCCAGGATTTTGGACTTTTTAAACCAATGGCAAGTGGAAAGTCACCGAAGCCTTGTCTTGGACCCATAACCACTGGATGAGGTGTGCTCAGGGATGTAATGAGCTCTGCTCAGTGGAAGCAGAACTTCAGAGATACGTTTCCAGGAGCTGACCACCAGAGGGCAGTGTGGCCCCAGCACACATCCTAGGTCTCCTTAGAACCTGAGCAGACCAGAGATTTCCATGCCCAGCCTGGGCCACAAAAGTGAAGTTGGTTTGCCTCATGAAGTCTGAGGTGAGTAGTGCCAAAAGGACTGAAGAGAGGAGCCCTTTTCTGCATTCCTGTAGTGACAGACGCGTGGAATCCTCACCTACACAGAGACTCACTGCAGGAGGCCATTACAGCCCGTAGAGTACCAGGCATGGTGGCTTAAGCCTACAGGCTTGTAAGCCCAGCCCTGGGGAGGCTGAGGCAGGAGTTCAAGGACTGTGAGTTTGAGGCCAATCTGAGCTACCAATAGCAAGACCCTGTCTGAAAAGAAAGAAAAAGAAACACCCTAACCCTCAGAGCTGATGAGACAAGAAGAAGAAGCTGTAACTGGGAGGGGCTGTTAGCTGGAGTGAGGCCGTAGATAACAGAACACAGCCCAGGCCAGGCCAGGCCAGGGTAAATGTTATTTCTTTGACTCTTACCCATCGCCCCCATTGGCCAACTCCACCGAAAGCCAGACGGGAAAACAGCCTGAGTGAGTGAATGGAGAGAGGCCAACGGGACATCCACACAGCGCCATTCCTCTCCGCTTAGCACCGACTTTAGTCCTTTGGATGAAAACGAACCAAAGTCATATTAGGAGACCTTGAGTTCAAATCCCAATAGTGCTTACAGAATTTGACATGGAAGGTGATTGTGATGGCTCTATAATATCATGTATGCATTAACTGCTACAAGATTGTTCCCTTTAAAGTGGTAAGTTTCGTTATGTGAATTTCACCTCAATGTTTCCTAAATGGAAGGAGAAAAAAAAAATCCTTCATCCTTAACAGGAAAAACAAAAGCTTATCGACGCCCCAGCCTTGCCATCTGTCTCTTCTGCTTGCCTGGAGTCTGACAGAACATGGTCTCACCAGGACATCTTAGAACAAGGGACCCAAATAACAGAAAACTATAGCGGCTCCCGCTTTTGTAGCCGGTCTTCAGGAAACCTAAGACACAACCCATCCCTCCACACTCAGCTGAGGTGTGGCTCAGAGAGGTAGAGCACCTCCCTAGGGAGCATAATGCCCTGAGTTCAAATCCCACAACCACCAAAACAAACCCAAGTCCTTCCACCCCATGAAGTCTTTATTATTTGTTTATGGAAACAAAGTCTCACTGCAAAGCCCTCGCGATAGCTCAAGCTGGTCTCCCGCTTGAGATCCCACCTCAGCTGAGATTCTAGGCTGCCATGTTCTTTTTCATGGCCCAGCCCTATGGCTTGTGGGAGTGAGGAGTCCAAAGTCTTTGTTCTAGGTAGCTGACCTTCCTACTGCCCTGACATTTGCTGGGTGCCATTTCTCAAGGATCATCGTCCTTAATGAAAATGGACAGCTGCACCGGGCGCTGGTGGCTCACGCCTGTAATCCTAGCTACTCAGGAGGCTGAGATCTGAGGATCGCGGTTCAAAGCCAGCCTGGGCAGGAGAGACTGT